AAGAAAAAACAATCAGATTTACTTTTATTGAAATCAGTTGACTTACCAAAATTATCAATGGACATTCATATACACCTAAATAAACATAAAAAACTAGATTCATAAAGTTGATATAAATCAGTTGACTTACTCGACATCTTAATGGATATTCATATACACCTAAATAAAGAAAAAAGAATTAGCCTTAAGTTTATATAAATCAGCTGACTTACCAGAATTAGTAATGGACATTCATATAGACCTAAACAAACAAAAAGAAATTAGCTTTAAGTTGATATAAATCAGTTGACTTACTCGACATTTTAATGGATATTCATATAGACCTAAATAAAGAAAAAAGGATTAGCTTGAAGTTTATATAAATCAGTTGACTTACCAGAATTAGTAATCGACATTCATGTAGACCTAAATCAGGGGTAGCATTTCTCATTTTTTAAATGGGTTTACAAAAGTCAAAATGGGGTACATTTGGGGTACATTCCAATTTAAAAAGGGGTGCATCAATGGGGTACATGATTTTACTCCTGAAGTAAAGTATTTAATTGAGAAACCTGCTGAAACGACACTGCTTTTGTAGAGAACAGAATCATATTTCACTGTTGTTTTTCAATTAGATAGGCTTAACTGTTTACACTGTTTCAATTAGCTTTGTGTTAATTGATTGTTGAGTTTGAAATTGGAAAATAACATTATAAATAGACAACGAAGATTACCATCAAATTCATTAAAGAGAAAATCTGCAATTAGAGATATATCTAATAGAATATGTATTTGCCAAATAAAAAAGAAAAATTAATGAAACACGGAGAAATCAGATAAGAAGAAATGTTTAAGTCTTATTTCGGTGTTTATAACGATAATAGTATGAACAACCAAGTATTTCAATCCGACACTGAACAAAGCAGATGTAGAAATCTATCGATCATTTGTTAACTGATACTTTTTTAGATAGATAGAAGTGAAAAGACTAGTGGGAAAACACACTTTCTTTACCTTGATATGGTGTTTTATCACATTCCAGACTTAAAAAACGAAATGGGGTACAAAATATGTACCCCTGGGGTACAAAATGTCGAAATGGGGTATTGTACCCCCAAATGGGTAGGGTTGGCAGCCCTGACCTAAATAAAGAAAAATAAATTAGATTTAAGTTTATATAAATCAATTGACTTACCCGACATTTTAATGGATATTCATATACACCTAAATAAACAAAAAGAAATTAGTTTTAAGTTTATATAAATCAGTTGACTTACCAGAATTAGTAATGGACATTCATATAGACCTAAATAAAGAAAAAAAATTAGATTTAAGTTTATATTTATTGAAAGCTATGAACTGCACATATATAATCAAACATGTTGCATGAAAGCTCTAAGTGCTTTCGATTCTCTAAGAATTCCAGAAATGAAGAACAGAACCATGACCCAAACATGAATTTGAAACGCGAACTTTCTGCATTGGAAAAATTGTTGTGCTCTAAAACGCTTTAGAGACTCATTGTGATAGTTTCCAAGCCTAGAAAGTGTGCAGTAGTTAAGTGAAGTTGGAAAGCTGATTTCTGTTTTTCACTATACCTTTTCGAATTTCAGAAATTTCAGAAACCGTTTAGGTTTCCGAGAAAGCCATTCGAAAACGCTTTTGGTTTCCAAGAAAGTAGTTCGGAAACTCTTTTTGTTTTCGAGAAAGTGATTCGGAAACCGATAAGGTATTCTCGGATACCTCTTTAGATACCCAAACAACTTTTAGGACAGAATTGGTTTCCTAAAATACCCAACAGGTTTCCGAAAATACTAATTTGCTTTGCGCCAATGATGAAAAGGTATTCTAGAATACCCTACGCGCATCGAATTCGGTACTCTCGAAAACCAAAAGGTTTCCGAAACCTCGGAAAACAATAAGATATTTTCGAAAACGATTTCGGTGATCGGAAACCCTTTCGGAAACCAAAAAAGGTTTCCGAAAGGGTTTCCGAACTGATTTTAGTTTCCTAGGAGACGGGAATTTTTTAGAGTGTAGGCTCATTATCTCTTCGACTCAAAAACTCTTTGAGAGTGTAGGCAAATTTTCCTTAAGCACTGGGATTTAGTATTCTACGCTGTTTTTTACAGTGTAGATTAACTACAGATCATTCCATTCTCCTCTTTAAAGCGAAGAATTCTTTGAGAGAGCCCATCCACTATCAATCATCGATCTATCCTGAATACATCAAATTTTTCTCCAATCTGAAACCCAATATGTTCTCCCCTGTCTCCACAGGAAATGATAAAACAGAAAACTTGACAACTTTTGTCAAGGATAGTTGCCCGCTTGTGAGACGCCGGCAACTCGAAACTCAAGTAAAATTTTTCTGTGTTCCTTTTTATACATGATTTGATAAAGCTTGATTTTCTGCTCAAGAAAACGTGGGTCTTAATTTTTCTAAATCTTCTTTTCAGGTCCAACAAACTAAAAACTTAGAAGAAGTTGTTTTTTGCAAAAAACACTTTGTTTTCAATTGTTACCAAATTTTCTGTTCAGGTTTTTGTTGAAGTACTCCCACTTATATTTTCAAATTCAGCGCCAAAAACTGAGTAAAAAAACCGCTATTAAATTGAATCTGATTCTAAAACTCTCTTGATGGGGCATACAATGGGTTATTTAATTTCAATCTGAATTTAAACAGAAATAAATGCGAAAACATCGGATTTAAATCCGAGTGTTATGTGTACTTCAAAAAGTGAACAGGTATATTCACTTTGTTTTTTATCATCTGAGACATGTCTAGGCAATTTAGTTTCTGGGTGCAGTTTCTATACATTTTGAGACCGTTTTCAGGCAATGTTTCGTTAGAAGACTATGATTTTGTTCGAAACTAATATCAAATTCGGAATCAGCGCTAAAAACTGAGTCGATTTATATATGCTGTGAATGATTCTGAGAAAAAAAATTTTTTTTTGAAAAAATCCCTGTACTCCCCCTCAAGGATGGTCTTCTCAAAAATGACAATTTTTTCGATAACTCAGCCATTTCTTAACGGATCCTGCTCATCTTCGAACTCAACCGAGACATTGTTAAGACTGAATTGTGTAGAAACTTTCATCGCGATTGGACTCTCCTTTCAAAAGTTATCGTGTATACGGCCGGACGGACGGACGGACGGCCGGACACACAGACCGATTTTAGTAGTGTACTCACTTTTTGAGTACACAAAAAGAGCACCTGATTTCAAATTGAAATAACGTAAGAAGGGGACTGAGCGGACTAACTGGACTAACTAAGGGGACTAAGGTGACTAAGCGGACTAATCGGACTAACTAGGGGACT